TTTGACTTCAGCACTGCGCCTCCTCTGAGTCTCGGTATGCTTTTCTCTTTCCTCCTAGTTGTAGAACTTCCACTCAGCCAGCCTTCCTGTGGTTCTGGATGACGTCCGTTCTGTCTTTTAGTTGTATTTTTGAAGTGGTTGTTCGAGGCAGCAAACTCCGGCGTTAACCTATGCCACCATCTTGGTTTGCTGTTTTGTATTTTTTAAAGGTGAGCAAACAGAAATGGCAGAACCAATGGGAAAGACCGTGCCACGGCGTGCCCTAGAGCTTATCCTCTGTCGTGAGTAACTGTAGCCCATATGTAAAGTCCTGCTGGTTCTCTGCTCCTGAGTGAATGGGACTCGGCCGGTAACAAACACTGCAGGGAGTTTCAAACGTCTCTGTCACCTGCTCAGCGACCTGCACTTACAGAGACCCCACTGGGCTCACGTCATGCAACTCAACAAACACTTGCCAAGCCCATGGGCCAGGTGTGCCAGGCACCAGGGAGACACAATGAGTCAGGTCAGGCCGCCTTCCCGAAGAAGGCGACCTCCTCCTCAGAGCGGGGCAGGGCCAGGCCTGAGGGCGCTGGGTAGCCCGACTCCATGGGAGGCCCTGTGGGAAGCCCATGGGCATCGGCGACTGTGGCTCCAGCGACCCAGGTGATGGGCAGGCACAGTGGGGATACCAGGGCTATGCAGGGCACAGGCCAGGTTTGGGGCGTGTGAGGTCTCTGGGATGGAGATGTGCAGCCGATGCTCCCATGTTGGGCCTGGAGCTCAGGAGGAAGCGGAGATGAATCCACGGGGGAGGGTGCCCCTCCCATGAGGACCGAACCGAATTGGCAGGTGCAGAAGAGGCTGCACAGAGGGAGATGATGGACAAGGGCTCAGCTCCCACCCAGGGGAGTGCCAACATGTGGGGCCGAAGGGAAGGAGAGATCACGGGAGAGCATTAGAGAAAATGGGCAGATAAACAGAGAAGAGAGCCATGGGAGCCCAGAAGGGGAAGTTTCAGGTACAGAGGGGTCTTCCAGCTTCAGAGAGACCAAGCGGAGAATGAGGGAGTAACTGGTGGAGGGTGTGGGGCAGGTGGAGGGTCGGGGGCAGGCGGACGGTGAGGGGCTGGCGGAAGGAGAGGGGGGGCTGGCAGAGCACGAGGCTCAGCAGAGCTCACTCTGGCATATTTTCTTCATATTTGTCCTCTATTATTCCAGTTTCCCTTGATTTTAATTATCACACACTTTTTTGTTGTTAACAGGTAGCTATAAGGTTTAAATATTTTCCTATAAATATGACTTCATGTCTGGTTGGCATGACTCGGTGGTTGAACATTGACCTACGAACCAGGAGGTCATGTTCAATTTCTGGTCAGGGCACAGGCCCGGGTTGTGGGCTGGATCCCCAGTGGGGAGCTTGCAGGAGCAGCAGATCCATGATTCTCTCTCATCATTGATGCTTCTGTCTCCCTCTCTCTCTCCCCTCCTCTCTGAAATCAATAAAAATATATTAAAATGTATATCCGTGACCTCAATTCCTTGTAGGAATGGTCATCATGAGCCAAACACACAGACCCACAGGATGACGTCATGCGGAGATGGAGCTGAGGACACACACACGCACCAGCACTAAGGACTTTCCTTCCGGAACCTTCACAGTCACAGCCACCTCCGGCTCCCAGACGGCGAACTCAGGCTGGTCTCTGGTGATGGCCTGGTCCTGGCAGCCCAACACGTGGGGACAGAAGGAGGCACGGAAGACGCCTGGGCAGAGAGGGGCCCTGTCACGCCCTGCAAGGCCCTGGGAGACCAGGGGCAGCAGCCGGAGCTCCCGCTGCTCACCTGGCCAGCGCCGCCCTCCGTCCACAGACACCTCTGCGGGGAACGCGGGGTGTGCTGGCTGGTAGAAGTGGATGACGATGACGTAGCGGCCGGGGCGTGGCACGCGTCCTCTCAGGGTCACTTGGCTCTAGGAAGAAAAGGAGAAAAACAAACTCCTCGAGCTGCAGAGCAATGAGCAATCAGAACCGCAGGAGGTTCCAGGTTAAAACCAAAGCGAGCAGGGGTTTGCCCAGGGAAGCTAACGCCTCCACTGGGACGCTGCAGTCGCTTCACCTGCGTCAGCCGAGAGCAGCTGGCCTGCGGAGGTGCCACCTCGATGGGAGGGGGGATTTGGTGGTCACGTTGGGAAACTGTGTGGCAGCTTTTGCCAAAGTGGAACATATGACTGACAGTTTCAGGTCTTAATGCCCGCCAACAGGATGCACAGCATGCTTGTCAAACGGCTGCACAGAACGTTCTCAGCGTTCAGTCACTATGGTAACAACCAGGTCATAAGGAGCCAGCGTGGCTCAGTGGTGAGCGTCGACCTATGAACCAGGAGGTCCTGGGTTCGGTTCCCAGTCAGGACACATACCTGGGTTGCAGGCTCAATACCCAGTGTGGGGCATGCAGGAGGCCGCCGATCAGTGATTCTCTCACCACTGATGTTTCTTTCTCTCTCTCTACCTTCTTCTCTCTCTCTCAAAAAAAAAAGTTACTAAGAACATTAAAAAAACAACACTAGCCAACACAACAATAGTGTCTGGTGTGACTGCCCTGTCTTGAACCATAAACACAGTATAAGTCAAATAATAGAACTGCATCTTATTGCTCACATTGCATAATAAGGTTGCATTTGATTGGTTAATTCTTGGAACCAGAAATCCTTATTATACAAGTATAGGCACCTGCTTTTTTTAAAAAGTCACTTTGGAGTAAAGAGGGTAGATAATTACTACTATTATTATTTTTTTGTAAATCAACCAAAATGACACCTATCTTTTGTCAGACTGTATCTTCTGGTGTGCCGCGGGCTTTTAGCGGTGAGGTGTGTGCCATGAGATGAGCAGGTGGGAAATGGCTGCTCGAGAAGACGAACCAAGACGTGTTTATTGAGAATATCCTTCCTGCAAATTGTGCTTGTGCAGCTGGTGATACGAGAACATTGTCAGCCACAGTCGCTGTCCTAAAAGTGCTTGCATTCCAGCTTGGGGGACATAATAAGCCTGACAGTGTCAGACAGCAAAGAACCACGAAAATATGAGGTACCACAAGATGGGCCATGAACTTGCTCAATGCCTCGGGCGGAGAAGCAGGAGGGACAGAGAGATCGGAGGGGTGGCATGGACAGGATTAATCAGATGCCTCGTGCCTGGAACCTCCACACTGAGATCAGAGGCCCTCCAACTGCAGGGGCATCTGAACTCCTGGGGAGGGTTGTGAACACACAGATCCCTCCAGAGACTCGAAGTCAGTAGCTCTGAGATGGGGCTTATGAATCTGCATTTCTTTCTTTTTTAAATAAAATATTTGAATTGATTCAGAGAGGAAGGGAGAGAGAGATAGAAACATCAATGATGAGAGAGAATCATGGATCAGCTGGCTCCTGCACACCCCTCACTGGGAATCCAGCCCACAATCTGGGCCTGTGCCTGACTGGGAATGGAACTGTGACCTCCTGGTTCATAGGTCAACACTCAGCCACTGAGCCACGCCGGCCAAATCTGCATTTCTCACACGTTCCCAGGTGGGTCCGGGCCACACACTTTGAGAACCACTGGCTTCGAAACAACACACTTGGGGCAGGAGGGTGTCCTACCTGTGGTGACTCCATGGTGAAGCCAGTAACCACATCAGTGGAAGGAGAAGGATCCTGGGGCAGGAGAGGGGGAGGCCCCCCAGGTGGGGCATCCAAAATCAGTGCTGCTGGAGGAGTTTCGGGGGACACGGAGAGACACGTGGCCCTGAAAAAGAGGCCATTTTAAATCTCGTATTAAAGATAACCCCAAAGAGAACTGCCCGTTGGTGAAGATGCAGACTCTGAGCGTAAGCTGTGGGGACCACAGGGCACTCCAGCCGCCGAATCAAAACAACGAGCCAAAACAGAAAGACAAAGCTTCTGCCGAAACCGGTTTGGCTCGGTGGATGGGGCGTCGGCCTGCAGACTGAAAGGTCCCGGGTTCGATTCCGGTCAAGGGCATGTACCTGGGTTGCGGGCACATCCCCAGTGGGAGGTGTGCAGGGGGCAGCTGATCGATGTTTCTCTCTCATCGATGTTTCTAGCTCTCTATCTCTCTCCCTTCCTCTCTGTAATAAAACAATAAAATATATTTTAAAAAAAAAAAAGCTTCATGCTGAGGGAGCGTAACCGACAGACACTCACTGACGCTTCCCTTCGAGATGAAAACTGTTAAGTGAGATCAATGCAGCGAACATTATTATTCACCTCTACCTGCTAAGGTGACATAAAACTGTGGAGCCAAGAGAACTACCCCAGTCACCCCCTAGGGTGACAGCCAGATCTCACCACCGGCTCCAGTCCTGCCGTGGCACAGCTTGCATGACTGTCTATAAATTATGTTTGAATCTACATCAACACAACTCTGCCAAAACCCCATAAGCTGTGGTGAGCAAACCTCATAACACCGGGGTGAGGCGGGTCACTGCTTTCATGGCTGTTTAAATGAAGAGCCTCAGACACAGGATTGAAGGATTAGGACAGAGTGAGTCCGCAGGGTTCAGAACAGAACTCAGGTACTGGCCATGGGGCTGGGCTCATTGCCCCGGCCACTGGCTCGGCCTCCTGCTCTTACAGGGCTCTGCACAGACTCCTGCAGTCAGTGAGCTAGCTGGTTGTCCGTCTGTCACACTCACCACCTTGACCTGCGGGCACTTCTGCAGCAGGAAGTCACAACCTTACAGGCATGACAGTATCACGCTGAGCACACACAGGGACACAGGGAGCACACAGAGGGACACAGGGAGAAAGCGCCTTACCTTTGGTTCGCAAATGGCCCGTAACTGGCGATGCATCTCACTTGAGGTTTCAAATATTCCGTTGAGAATTCTTCGATGGGAATGATACAAATCTGATGCTGTCAGGCAAATGCAGTGCAAAGAGGTACGTTGCAGTTACCAGCAAAATCATGGCAAGGTCAAGCGCAGGCTTTAAAAAGGCTGTTAGGGCCCAGGTGCCATGGCTCTGTTATCCAGGCGGCCACCGTTCGATTCCTGGTCAGGGCACATGCCTGGGTTGTGGGTTTGATCCCCAGTAGGGTGCGCACAGGAGGCAGCCAATCAATGATTCTCTCTCCCTCTCCCTTCCTCTCTGAAATCAATAGGAATATATTTTTAAGAATAAAAATAATAAAAAAGCCTTTGGGTAAAGAATTGATCCAGAGAAATTATCGTTGTTACTTTAAAGTAGTAAAAGGTGCACAATGGGACTCCTACAGCATCATGTGCAACTAATCCTTTCTGGGCTTTCTCAAGGTCAGGAACGAACGTGCCCTGGAACAATGATATAAAGGGACAAGGTCGTGTGGAGAGGCAGGGGGCATGGTGGGCATCCAGGAGCCTGCTACGCCAGCGCCCAGCGAGGGCCGCTCCTGCTACAAACAATCCTTCACAGAGGATGACTCAGACCTTGGCACAGGGGGCTTTCGCTGAAGAACTATCTCCAGAGTGAGTTTTGAGTCACAAAAAACTCAGTTTTTAACTTGCCAATTTACTCCAGCTTAGATCAACACTGTATTGCCAGCTTGATCATAAAGCTGTTCAGTAGCAACGATTTTTATTGAACATCTGCTACATGTGAGGCACTGAGATTGGGGGATCCTGCAAGACAGACAACACCCCTGCCCTCAGGAGCTTATATTCTCAGGCAGGACACTGGACTATTTCAAAAGGGCAAACGTATATGTCAAAAGGAAGATACAGCCCCGGCCAGCGGCTCAGTTAGTTGGAGCATCGTCCCAACACCAAAAAGGTCACGGGTTTGATTCTGGGTCAGAGCACATATGTAGGTTGAGGGTTTGATCCTCGTTGGGGTACGTACAGGAGGCAATCGATCGATGTTTCTCTCTCACATTGATGTTTCTCTCTCCCTCTCTCTCTCTCTCCCTAAAAACATTAATAAACATACTCTCTGGCAAGGATTAAAAAAAGATTAAGATTCAGCCCCATCACTGCTTCCAAAGATGAAAAGGTTAAGAGTCAATTGGATTGTTACACTTAAAAAGAGATTTGTAATTTTAAAAAGAAGGTCTTAAGTGATTATATACTTTGTAGAGTAATTTTTAAAAACTGAATCCCAGGTGCTTCTTTAGAGAAAGCGCCAAGTCTTTACTATGGTTGAGCAGGCCGCGGGCTCCCAGGTGTACCAGGCTGGATATTAGCAGCCCCAGGAAGTCTTCACACTTCGGACTTTTACGTCCCCTGAGACCTTCCTGTAAATCTGGCCGCTCCCTCCCAGCGCAGGCCTCACTGCCTCTGTTTGTCAAATCCTCACACGTCAGGTGTGCTACTGACAGGTGGACACGCGTATATTTAACCTGCGATGCTGTCATTGTCAGTCTTAATATTACACTCAAGTTAATGGAGTCATGCTCTTTGTGAAATAGAGTAGCGATCACCTGGGGCCGTGGTCAGCAAACTGTGGCTTTCGAGCGACATGCGGCTCTTTGGCTCCTTGAGTGTGGCTCTCCCTAAGCCTTAGGAGTACCCTCATTAAGTTAATAACAATGTACCTACCTTGTTTAAGTTTAAAAAATTTGGCTCTCAAAAGAAATTTCAATCATTGTACTGTTGGCATTTGGCTCTGTTGACTAATGAGTTTGCCGACCACTGGTCTGGGGGAAATACCAGATGATTCCAACCTTTGAAACTCTGAAGGAATTTGCCAAGATGCCAATAGACGTAATAAAACAGTAAAATGAGGAAGAATAGACACAGTCACTAATGCGTTCCTCCACACCAGCGATACTAATAAGTGAGGAAATGGTACAAGCGTCATTTCATTCACAGCAGTACAATGAGTAAAATTAATGAAATGGGGCTTTGTGAGATGTGCTCATATGTGATGATCAAACTTGACCGAGTGTTCTAACAATGGCTCAAACAAAGGAGAGGCCAGACAGATTTCTAGATGGAAGAATAAACATCACACAACTGGCCATTCTTCACAGGGCTGATGTTATAGATGTCAAAAAAAACCAAAACCAGCCACATTTTTAATAAGCTTATTTTTAAGAGCATAGATATCAACCAAATGCTTCTAAAACCCAATGGTGTGGCTCAGTGGGTAAAGCGTCAGCCCACAGACTAAAGGGTCCCGGGTTCGATTCTGGTCAAGGGCTCGTACCTCGGTTGCAGGCTAGATTCCTGGCCCTGGTCGGGGTGCATGCAGGAGGCAACCAACTGGTGTGTCTCTCTCACACTCGCTCTGAAAATCAATGGGAAAATATCCTCGGGGGAGGATTAACACACACACACACACACACACACACACTGAAATAAGCCCCACGGGCATACATACCAGGAGGAGCCGGGCGCTGCGGACTCTGAGCCGGACGTCCGCGTCAGCAAGCAGCTCGTAGGTGGCCAGGCGGCCCCGGCCGTCGGTCAGGGCGCTCCGGCACAGGACGCTGCAGGAGGAGACAGTTGGCTCAGCCGACCCCCTGGCCCCTCCCTGGGCGCTTCCCTGCGGGTGGCGGGTGGCTCTTCGGGCTCTGCTGTCGATGGCCTGGTGGCCAGCCGAGAACTTCCCTGCACTGAGCTGAGTGTGAAGGATGTAGCCCAGCTGGGAAGGGCCTCCCGATGGCTGAGCTGCCCCTCAGGCTGCACGCCCTGCTCACCTTCTCCACGGGAAGAGGTGTAGTTGTGGGACGACAGCCCAGGGCCAGTGCTGTCTGCCTTTAAGGCACAGCCTCTGCAAGAGTCGCCCATGTCCTCGTACTGGTGGCAATGGTGCTGCCCACTGCCCCCCCCCCCACGGCCTGAGGGAGCGTGGAGGTGTGCCCAATGCCCCGAGGCACCCAGAGCCCCTGGAAGCCCAGGCCGCTCCTCCTCCTGCCCCATTTCTACCAGCGCCTTCCCCCGTCCCATCAGGTCAAGTCCAGGAACACTGAAAAGGTCCGGTTTTGCCCTGGCCAGTTTGGCCCAGTGGTTACAGTTAGCCCGTGGGCCCAAGGTCCAGGTTCCATTCCAGTCACAGGCACGTACCTCGGGTGGGATGTGATCCCCTACTCCAGTCAGGGTGCACGCAGGAGGCAACCAACCCATGGGTCTCTCTCACATTGATGTGTCTTTCTCTCTCTCTCCCTCTCTCTCTCTCCCTTCTCCTCCCTCTCTTTACTCTTTCTCTCAAAAGCCAATGGAAAAAAATATCCTCGGGTGAGAATTAGAAACTTAACAAATAAATAAGTAAATAAATAAAGGGTCAGTTTTGAACCAAGAACACATTGTAATGGCGGCACCCATACAGGAAGTGTCTTTTGAGGAATGTTTCTGACTTCAGACTCTAGCAAATTTCCTTCTTTTTTAAATATATTTTTATTGCTTTCAGAGAGGAAGAGAGAAACATCAGTGAGAGGCTGCCTCCTGCCTGCCCCACACTGGGGATCGAGCCCACAACCCATGCTTGTGGCCTGACTGGGAGCTGAACCATGATCTTGGTTCATAGGTTGACCTCCACCACTGAGCCACGGCCGGGCTCTGCAGCAACTTTTCTATCTGCGAATATAATTTGGAACGAGTGACACCCTGAAACAATGACCATCTCTGGGAAACACAGGGTGGGGCAAAAGTAGGCTTACAGTTAATCATGCAGAAAATGATACAATACACAGTAACACAAGCATAAAGTCTGTGTTTTGTGTACTCACAATGGTAAACCTACGTTTGCCCAACCCTGTACTTGAAATAATTTATGCAATGACTTTTGGGGTGAGGGCTAAAATGAGATGGTGTATAAAGGATAAACACAGTTTGTGGCATATTTAGCAACTCAATGAAGTCATTCTCTCTTCCTTTCTGTTCACGTGCATGGAGGTGTGCGTGTGGGTCGCGTGCGTGGAGGTGTGTGTGCGTGTCCTCTAAATGCCTTCTTCTTGGATTCCAGCAGAATTCTGGAAGTAAATATATTCAGTCATCTGCTTAGGTTTAGATTTAGCCTTATCTTTCCGAGACTAGACTAACAGAAATACCTGGATTGGTTGAATCGTGAGTGACCGCTTCTCTTAGCAGATTCATCACAGCTCCATTTTGAAAAATGGCGCCCCCACCAGAACCCCTGCCTTCCTGCTGGGATCTTGTTAACGACATGGAAGTCGCTGGAGTGAGGCTGGCAAGGGTCCCGACCTCAGCAGGAGATGTTGCAATGGTGAAGGCCTGACATTTGAAATAGGTATTTATGGGTTAAATATTGTCCAATTGCACCTCTTTGGACTGTGGTATATGTAGCCTGTTCATTGGCCACGTAGCAGGCAAGTAGAGAGGGAACTATTTTAGCCAGAGAATCAATACCGTGAGCCTCCCGGGAGTGGCCGAACACAGCAACAGGGACTCCCGGTCCATGCAACACTGTGTTGGGCCCTGACCGGGGCCTGCAGGTGGGCACGGGGGTGCTGGCCTGTCCGCGGCCAGAAGCACCTGCAGAGGGTCTCACGGCTCTTCCCCACCGTGTCGTCCAGACGGAGGCCGTGAGTCGGTGCTCTGGAACCCCGGGAGGCGCCCTTTCTTCCTGGGCTTTGAACTCACTCCTCTGCTGGGTCTGGGTAGTCGCAGCCTCGTCCGGAGTGACTCAGAGCTGCCAGGCCTTCGGGAAGCTGCCTGGGGCTCTTGGCCATCCCTACTCTGTGTCCTGTGGGGGAGGGACCGGCCCTGTGCCCAGAGGGAGCGCTGAGCTGGAGGGCGGGCGGGGCAGACAGGGCATGAAGGAGCCTGGCCCCAGGCCCTGTGGCCCAGTCACGGGGATTCCTGGGGCGACCCACCCACCGGGAGTGTACATTCCAGTGGCTGCTGACATCACCTGGAGAGGAAACTGTTTTCCGATCATGGAAGAACATTCCGGGGAACTTTCTTTGCCCATCTGGTGCCCCTGTTACAAATCCAAATGCGATTATTTATATTCTTTGTTTTTTTAAGTCATCAGCCCAGAGAAAGGGGTGGACTGGATTTTTTTTAAGATTTTTAAAAGGAGGAAGCCTTCATTGCTTATTTGTGAGGCTGGCTGAGAGTGTGATGTGGACTCAGTGACCTCTCATCAAGTCTCATAAAAGTTTCCACCCGAAGCTGCTCAAAGCAACTCTTTCCTCAAGTTCTTTCACTTGCAAAACAGGAAGCGTGTCCAGCTCCCAGGGCATCCCGGGTTGGACAGAAGCAACAGGGAAGCAGAGGCAGAAGGTTCCAGACTTGGCCCTGAGCTGGGTGGTCCGTGCCGCTCCCACCTGCTGCCTCCAACTCCCAGGGCCTTGGTGAGCGTCCTGGGGAACCCCCGGCACTGGCTCTTCATGTGCAGCCAGCTCTGCTCAGCTGCCTCTGTTTGTTCTGAAATGTTACGCCAAGGAAACAACTTTTTTTTTTAACCCTCACCCGAGGGTGTTTCCATTGATTTTTAGGGAGAGTGGGAGAGACAGGGAGAGACAGGGAAGCATCGATGTGGGAGAACCACATGGATTGGTTGCCTCCTGTGTGAGCCCCAACCAGGGCCCGGGCCGGGGAGGAGCCTGCAACCAGGGCATGTGCCCTTGAGTGGAATCAAGCCCGGAACCCTTGTTCCGCAGGCCGATGCTCTATCCACTGAGCAAAACCAGCTGGGGGGAGACAGCTGTTAGTAAATCCTGGTCAGAGCTCTTGAAAGTGGAACATCAGGGCAGGTGTTATTTTCCTCCTGACGATCATCGAACATGCATGACCTCCACCTCTGAAGGGCACGGGGAGGGCAGGCGAGATGGACGCCTTTCCGGGCGCCACACCCTGCTCTCTGCGAGCACTTCCCTGAGCACACAGGGGGCGCCAGCGAGGACAATGTAGAGGTTATGTTGCTTCCTGGGAACCTGCGCCAACATCAACATGGAAAGTACAACAGCTTTTCAAGAAACTGCGACGCTTTCCAGGCACTGCCGACGAGCAGCCTGCCGGCCCCCATGCTGCAAGGTGATGTCCGATCACGCAGCCAAGAGCAGCCTCACGAAGGAGCCACTTTCCATCCCGATGAAAACCAAAGTCCCTCAGCTGATCTCCCGCCGGCCCCGCTAGAGGAACCCCCGGGCAGCCTGATACCTGTGCTGGCAGCTGTAGATGGTCACCTGGCCGGCCAGGCCTGGCCCCGGGCTCCCCACGTGCACGTCGGCTACAGACATCTGCTCTGCCTCCGTGGAATACTCGACCACGACCACATAGCGGCCGGCCCACGGGACCCGCAGCGGCAGGTACAGTTCCACCTGTCAGAGGGCCGAGCAGACGGGGAGATGAGTGGGGTGTGCTTACACGGGCAGCTGAGAAACAGGGCTGCACAGACCATGGACATCGGTTTCCATGGCATCACTGCCGGGCACGGGGGCCTGCAGGGCGGCTGCTCGGTTAGAGAGGAAACCCAATGAACAGCACGGTACCATCAAGTCCCTTCCATTCAGGTTTAATGGGCACCTGGTACTTTTATTTCCTAAATCTGCAACCCTGCATGCAGGGGCTTCTACACTTTCTACTCATCTCTTTGCCTGTGTCTCAAGGTAAGAGACACTCCACAGCCTGAAGTGGGAAGAAATTTCCCAGTGGGAGGTAAGAGGAATGGAAGTGGGCCTGGAGGCTTTTAACTGATGTTAGTTAGAAGAGAAAAATTAAATTATATGGATGCAAATCATCTAAAGCGATGCACACACCCTACACCCCACTGGGTGCGCGGCAGCCCCAGCCGCAGCAGAGAACTTGGCACACGCACTGCACTGAGCCTGTGAGGCGTCCTTCCACGTCCCCGAACCTGGGGAGCACTGGGGCCAGGGGTTTTCAGCAGACACGGGGTGGTGTGTGGGGGGGGTAGCGGGGGGGTAGTAATAGCTTTGACAGCAAACGAAAGGCTGCCCACCTCTCGGCCGCCGAGATCTGCCATGACGGGGTGAGCGGGGCTGGGCTGCCTCAGGGCCACAGGTCTTGGCTGTCCATCCAGCAGGAAGTGTGTGGCCTCACAAGCCAGGGCGCAGGGGAAGCGGGCCAGTGGCAACTGCTGGTAAAGCAGGCAGCTGCGACAACAAGATGCGCAGTTACAACGGAGACCCAGCACAGAGCATCCCGCACACCCACCCATCCAGGCACCCATCCTTCCTCCAGCACCACAGTGCCCACTACAGGCACCAGGAGGGCACCGGGAGGGCATTCCCATCGGCGGGAGCCATGGAGGAATCACCCGCTTTCTATTTTAAGCTCCTCCCCTCACAGGTGCATGACTTTGGGCCTTACTGGGGCATGCACCAGCGTTTCCACAAGCTACAGGGTGCGAGCCGCTCTTAAGCACCAGCTACGGGGTGCAAAGTGCTCTGTGATTCTTAACGTGGAAGAGGGTCACCTGCTCCAGAGAGAAAAACCACCCTTAAGTAATGGTCAGAGCTTCCGGCTGCAGATGGGACCTGAGGCCACCGCACACCCTGCAGCAAGCCCCCGACTCAGGACCCGAGACACTAACTTCTCGTGGGGAGGGCCCACGTGTGCACAGGGCTCCGTGACGGGCAGCTGCAGCGAGGGGGCCGCGTAGTAGTCTCTGGGGAGCAGCACCAGGTAGTCCTAGGAAATGAAGGCCAACAGCAATCACGCCCGTGCTGGTGGCCCTGCTTTAGAATAAAAGAGCCGACACACAGCTGACTTAGCCACTCGGCGAGGCTACTAGCTGACTTCTCCCCACGGGCTGCTGCGTCTGCCGGACTCGCCAGCACCCCCAAAGTTGCTCCTGCGGGGCCATGAGCACTGGAGATAAGAGCCGCAGGGCGAACCTCATCAGCTTCCGATCCAGGGGAGATTTTACCGTCTCTTGTTGCTTTTAATTTTTTAAATAAACTTTTTATTGTTGATAGCATTACAGATCTCTCCCCTTTTGAAAGGCTGGGACACGTGTTCATTAAGGTTTTGCATTTATTTAGAAAACTTCAAATCCTGACGCATTATAATTCGGTAAATGCTTTGTCTGTGCGAAGTTGGCTGTAAGACGATAGGAGGTACCTTACGTTGGCTCCTATGTCATTGCGTCATGTGAGGGCAAAGGTCACCATTGATGTCTAAAAGGGAACCAGCCAGCCCGGCCGGCGTGGCTCAGTGGTTGAGTGTTGACCTATGAACCAGGAGGTCACGGTTCTGTTCCCGGTCAGGGCACATGCCCGGGTTGCAGGCTCCATCCCCACTGCGGGGCAGGCAGGAGGCAGCCGATCCATGATTCTCTCCTCATTGATGTTTCTCTCTCCCTCTCCCTTCCTCTCTGAAACCAATAAAAACGTATAAAGAAGAAAAGAACAACTGCTCACCAGGAGGACCCCCTCTGCCTTGATGCAGGCCACCCACATCCCCGGTGCCAGTGAGAACGCGTCGGCCGGACCGCTTCCAGGGATGGAGATGAAGGCTGGCTCCATGCTGGGCAGGAAGACGACCCCTCTGCTCTGAGCAGCGTCTGTCAGAGAGAAACACGTCGCTCAGGCATCGCTCTGGCAGCCAATCAGTTTTCCACCTTTGGTTTCCATCCGCAAACGTGTAGGGTAAATGACGGATCCTACGTGCAGACCTTGCTTCTTTAACTGCATGAATGAATGTGTAAGAAGAGCCTAGAAAGACCCTGAACAGACTTCAGCAGTGGCGATCTATGCTGGGATTGCGAGTCCCTTTTTAATTTGTGAAAGATGGAGTATATTAACACAGGTAAATCGCTTAGAAAGGTTCTTGGCACCATTTTTAATTGTCAAAGAAACGTAATTACAATCCACAAGGAAAAGGAAAACAGGTCAACACAACACTCAGTGTACCAGCATCACGTAACGGGAAATGAAAATAGGGACAGCGTAGTGACTGGCCGACTCCCTGTGCTTGTCTCTCCTAGCAATGGAGTCTGTGCACACCCTTGTGGGTTGTGCTGGTAAACGGATAGGCAAGTCGTGTTTTAGGGCTTATACTGGCTGCCCCACACTGGGGAGCAAGCCCGCAACCCGGGCATGTGCCCTGACGGGGCATCGAACTGTGACCTCCTGGCTTATAGCTCCACACTCAACCACGGAGCCACGCCGGCCGGGCTTAGCCTTCTCTCTGCATCAGGTCCCCCTGGCACCATTATGTGTCCCTGTTGGGCCCTCCTGCCACCTGGAGTCTGTGTGGGGAGCCCTGACCTTCGCAGAACAGATCCCAGGGAGGTCCGCACTCCCACCACCGTCTCCCGGCCTGCCGGAAACCGGTCCATCCTTGCTGCTTGACACAGTCGCTGCAGGTGAGAAACATCTGCACAGCCTATGTTTCAAGGGACCTGGCGTATATGGCATACTGTTCTTAGTATGTTTGCTCCCCTTCTTAGCGCTATGTGTTTTAACCAAGGTCACCTCTCTGAGAAAGGTTGTTTCCCTAGGTGGGGATTTTTCCCTGGAGTTAGGGATTAACAGGACTAAGGAAGGGAATAAAACCCCTTAAACAGATGTAACAGGAGAATAAAGACAGAACCTGGATAGAGAACCTGGCTCTGCTGATCAACTGAATGCTGCCTCCGTGTCATTTCTTCTTCACCAACTCCATCCACACCTTTGGGAACCCCGGGACCTGCTGGGGCTGGACCCCACACCGGCCCTCGGTACCCTCCCCCTGACCGAGGTCCCCACTCCTCCCGGAGTCCCGGCTTCCTGCTCACACACTGTCTTAGCTTCCTGTGCTCACCCCGTGCTCTGGGAACCGGTCGGTTTGCCTGATGCAAGGGGACTGTGTCATGGGGGTAGCCAAGGTCCCTCAGCACTGCAAGGCGACACACACTTTCCCGTGAGCGAGTTATAAACTAACTTTGCCTATGGCAACGTCAGAGCCTGGCGTTCAGCCAGGCACACATGTTGATACATGGATTTGTAAATGGCAGCTAATGATCAATGTAACAGCAAAGTGCAATAAGCAGGGGCAGGGGCGGGGGCAGGGCGCCGCGTGCACTGTCAGGCTCAGGCCAGCGCCAGGCGGGCATGTCTACAGAGGAGAAAACGTTTCCCTGGTCCATCGTTTCTTAACCAAAAAGGGTCCTGAAAATGTACCCACCTGCCTCCGCCCCGGATGGATGAAGAGTCACAAGGCCGGCTACCGCCTCCGCTCCAGGGTTCACACATCGCAGAACAACACGGAACTGAGAGCGGCTCGACCGCCCCACGCTCAGCAGGACCCTCACCTCGTTCTGAAAGACACCGAGGCCACACAGTGTAGACGGGATGCTGGCCAAACAGCGGCTTCATCCACGCTTCACACCGGCTCCTGGTGTGCACACACGAACATGCCATGTACACAGAGACACATGAGCATGCCGTGTACACAGAGACACACGAACATGCCATGTACACAGACACACGAACATGCTGTGCACACATACACCACTCATACCCACTCAATAAGCACAGATACACACACTCACACATGTGTACACACATCCACACGTAGGTCACACACATTCACACAGAGTGCGCATACATGCGTGTGCACGTACACATGTGACACCCACTCAGCAAGCGCCTGCACCCGAGGAAGGTGGAGATGCACAGCCTGGCGAGGAACTGAAGTCACTCACGAGGAAGGAGCCATGAGAGGCACACCCTCGGGTCCTCTCTGGCCTCTGTAAGCTGCAGGCAGAGTGCGTGGAGGGACTGGTTAGGAAGCCACAGAGGCCGCGCAGCCACACGGCTGGGAGAAATGAAGGACAGTGTGCTGAGAGACCCCCCTCCAGGGCCCACTCACATGTACAACATCGCAAATGGGTGCAGAAACCGAGGGCGGCTCAGGAAAGCTAGACCCAACACACGGGAGGTGAAGTCTGGACGTAACTAAACTGCGCTTAGTGAGTCACAGGAAACACTCTCAGGCCCCATCCAAGGAGAACACGGGCCTTCAGGTGAAGTGGGCGGGGCGTCCCAACACCCACAAGCCCTGGTGCTCACACACGGAAGAGCCCCTGAGCCCTCGAGGGGAAGGAAAGACCAGGCTATTTTAAGTCTGAACCACAGACTGCATGATCCAATTCAGTTGTGGCCCAAGGAAGGCGCGTGATACTCGGCAGCTGTGAAAAAGCTGTGGGACATGTACACATGGGACACCACGCAGCTGGGAAAAGGCAGGGTCTCGTACCCATGAGACGGCATGGAGGGACCTGGAGAGCATGATGCTGAGTGAGATAAGCCAGTCAGAGAAAGGCAAGTACCACATGATCGCACTCATATGTGAATGAACAAAAGAGACATATAGAACAGAGTGTGGAACCTCAGAGGGAAGGGGGGTGGGGCGGAAAGGGATTAGCCAATGAATTTACATGAATGTGCATAGCCCAGTGACAGACGATCTCGCGGAGAAGGCCCGGGGAGGGGACGAGAGTGGGGTCGAGGGGGTCAACGGAGGAAAAATGGGGACATCTGTAATACTTTCGACAATAAAGATAAATAACAATGATACTACTAATAATAAAGCCTGGCTGGTGTGGCTCAGTGGTTGAGCATGAACCTATGAACCAGGAGGTCACAGTTTGATTCCCGGTCAGGGCACAGGCCCAGGTTGCAGGCTTGATCTCCAGTGTGGAGCGTGCAGGAGGCAGCCGATCAGTGATTCTCATCATTGGTGTTTCTCTCTCTCTCTCCCTTCCTCTCTGAAATCAATAAAAACATATTTTAAAAAAGAAAAAAAAAAGGAACTTGGACATTTCCAAATCAGTGGTTCCTTTGATTTTTTAATCATCTTTGAAGGGGCAGTGGTGGAGCGAGAAATCTGTGACAGAAACGTCCGGTGGAATCCCTGTTCTGGGGCCGGAGCTGCGTGACCCACAGAGACACTCGCCTCACCCTCTCAACCTGACGCTTCACCTTTAATGCAGGTTGCTGGTTGGAAAATAATGATGCGAACAGGGACTCGGGGCAGAGGAAGGTCAGTGTGAGTGGAGCACCACCCCCGTCCTCGGATGAAGACACTCCCGAGAGTTCACCCCTAGAAAGCCATTCCTTGGTGTGAGCCAGCTGCTCCTGCAACACGTCACACCTGCGGCTCAGGCACTCCCATCCTGTTATGACTCAGGGGAATGCCCCCTTTCTCCTGAATCACAAAGTGATCGGAAGTAAAGAAACAGGAGGAGCCAACAGTGAGGCATCCTAGGTCCTGGGACCATCTGGGAAAGGCCGCTGGCCGGGGACCCTGGCCGGGCAGAGCCGTGTCAGTGCCCGTGGCTGACGGTCACGCTTGTCTAAGGGCTGAATGAGGGACCGGCTGGTGCTGGGTCCGCCAGGGACACGGGCTGGTTGCCACGGTCACCAGTTTGCCTCTTTCATTCTGAGTTTCTCCCCGAGACACACGGCCCGAGGAGACCCCCCTCCAAGAGAAATGCTGGGAACAAACACTCAGCAGCTGCACGGAAAGCTTCACTGTAAACGTTACGCTCCACAGGTGAAGTGTGAACTCCTCCGTTCCAACACAGAGCGGGGGAGGGCCCAGGGGAGGAGACGGGAGGGGAGGAGGAGTGTGGGGAAGGAAAATGAAGTCGCGCGGATGGAAACGCCTCACGTACCTTAGCTTCTATTTGATAGTAATTCGGAGTTTTAAAAAGTGAAAATTAAATAAGAAATTAGCAACATAAGCTTTATTGGAATCATTTAAGTCAACTTGTGTTTATCTCCCACAACTGCCTTAAAGAAAAAATGTCTCCTGTTAAGCACAGCCTAATCTTGTTTGGGAAATTCCCTATAAAACGTCTCCAGAGAGAAGCACCGTTTTTCTTTAATCCCCTCCTCTTCTGATTTGGTGACCAAAGTAAACTGACAAGAAACTGGAACCGACACATGTTTACCAGCTGAAGCCCAGCCCCGCCCCGAGCCCAGGACACTCGTTCTCATTTTCGAGGAAAACGATCCTGGAGTCGGCGTTGGGGAGAGCTCACCTCTGGGCGAGGTCGGGCCACGCACCTGGAGGGGGGTCATCTGGGCGTATCCTCTCCAGCTGAACCCGGGGAACTCCAGGGGGTCAAACCCGAAGCGCAGGTCCCTCCCGCTGGGGGTGGTGCCGTCTTCGAGCTCGTACTTCATGTGATGCAAGTCCGGGAAGTAGTGGTTGTCCTCAGGTCTTTCACCCACAAAAAGCAGACACGGATGAGCAGGCTGGGCTCACGGACCATCTGACTTCCCATTGATCCCGACAGCTGCGGCCCAGCACCCCCACCACCCGACAGGGCGCGTTGCATAGGACAGACGGGGCGCCGAGCTTTCTCTCCCAATGCCTGCCTTCACCCATGTGAACACCCACACCCACACCCTCCCAGCAGTCAGGTGAGGGCTCACTGAGTACAGCACATGGTGGTAGCATCTTCAAAACCTCCTCAAAGGGCACCCACAGCCCAGCGAAGTCAAATCAGGTTACTTACTCTAAATCCATTCACTCACTCATTCATTCACTCACAAACTCGTAGTCATTCTCCACACAAATATTAACATCGCTGTGTCGGGAACCGTTACTAAGACCTCAGATGCTGAGCTTACAATTACACATATACACTCATGTACGATCACTAAAATGACCTTTCTATGCCTCGTTTTCTCTTAAGCTTCACGCCTATGAATGACTCCTTTCCAGAGTCCACTAACGGCATCACAGAAAAGGATCAGAATTATCCCGACAGGAAGTACCACGACTCCAGTTCTTCAAACGCACACGGCGACCCCGTCACAAGCTGGCAGCATGAACGGGTGTGAAGGCCCTTCGAGAGACTCACCGCTGGCACGCCTTCCCCACGACGTGGTCCCGGCACACACACACCCCAGCGGGCCCGCTGCACACGGGGGTGACGGCCCCACCCACGTCACACCGACACCCTGAAAGTCAGGACACAGCGGGGTCACCCTCAGAGCATCTCCTCGCGGATGCCTCCCTGCTTCTAGGAGGGAAGCCGTACGCCAGGGCCTTCGGCTCTGCCCGGCCTCTCGAGCGTGTGGCAGGTGTTTGAAATATGTATGAACCCCCAAACTGAGATGGTAGGACCCCCACTGCCCACTAGGGGGCGGTAGCTCAGTGCTACCATAAGCAGCTCTGCTAACGGAGAGGCTGTGGCAGAGGCTAGAGGAGGGTTAGGGACAACCCCTCTCACAGCTTTATTGTTTGAAACAATAAAACCCTCAGAGTCGCCTGGAGGGACCTGAGAGCATCCTGCCGATCAGAGAACGACAAGTGTCACATGACCTCACTCGTGTGGACGCTAACAGAGCGACCAGTGAACAGAGACCCAGAGACATGGAAGCACAGAGCAGACCGTGGGTGTCAGAGGGACGGCGGCGTCGGGGAGATTAACCGGGACTCTGCACATATGCCCGGCCCAGGGACACCGACAGCAGAGTGGCGAAGGGGGGTGGGGGGGTGTAATGGAGGAAAGAGGGGACATCTGTGATACTTTCCACAATAAAGATGCATTTTAAATAAATAAAACAATATCGTCTCTAAAAGATCCAGTGTGGGCGTTTTTGATCATGCAAAATATATCTTTAAAACGACTAAGCCTCGATGTTATTTACAGTGACTCCCTCATCCCAATTATGTTTTATTTTATTTTTAAATTATATTTGTATTGATTTCAGAGAGGAAGGGAGAGAGACAGAGAGAGATAGAAACATCCATGATGAGAGAGAATCATGGATCGGCTGCCTCCTGCACGCCCCACATTGGGGATCGAGCCCACAACCCGGGCCTGTGCCCTGACTGGGAATCAACCCAGGACCCTCAGTCCACAGGCCGACGCTCTGTCCACGGAGCCACACCGGCCAGGGCCCAATCGTGTGTGTTATCATTAACCCCGAGTGTGCTGGCACAGAGGAGCTGAAGCGACCCCACGTGCAGTTATCACTAGTCTCAACAGAAAGGTTGGCCCAAGTCCCTAGACAGGAGTTTTGAGCCCGAACCCCCGGAGAGTCTGCAGGAGGAGGAGGAACTCGGAGGAAAGGCTGCCCTGATATCTGCCCATCAGCACCCGCACTTCACTCAGGGCCATGGGCGTCTTTACCTTGACACCCGAAGTAACTGCCCTTCTCCAGAGCGAAATAGCCATCGTCGCACGTGTCGCAGGAATCACCCCCGACGTGGGGCTTGCAGTGACAGTCCCCGTCGCGCTGCAGAACAAGGAGCGGACGACAACATGAGGTGAGGGGACAGAATTCATTGTGCTCAAGGCTTCAGCCCATGAGGCCTCGTGTGTCATACGAAGTCGTGCGTCAGGATCTAAAAATGTCCAAAATGGTCCGGCCGGAGAGGCATCGACCTATGAACCAGGAGGTCACAGTTTGATTCCCGGTCAGGGCACAGGTCTGGGTTGTGGGCTCGATCCCCAGTGTGGGGTGGGCAGGAAGCAGCCGATCAGTGATTCTCTCTCATCAATGATGTTTCCATCTCTCTCTCCCTCTCTCTTCCTCTCTGATATCAATAAAACTATATTTTAAAAAATAAAAACGTCCAAAAAGATGACTGCACGCAGTACAATTGCAGAGGTGCTAACATGACACCCTCCCACAGAAACCCCACAAATTGCTGCTGGCGTCCCATGTAAACCAGCTCACGTTACCTGCCCACACTCTCCAATTCCGCTCACCGTCCCCGCCGCGTGGCACCGGCATTCTGTGGAGACAAGACAGCGTCCTTGGGCCAAGGGGACCCAGGGGCAGCCCCAGCACCGGGACCGCGCCACACCGGCCCCTGCACGGGGTCACCTCCCAGCATGCTTCACAGGAGTCAGCTTGCACGGCCGAACCCTGGGGCTGGCCTGCTCGCCGGAATCTGAGGAACAGCCAGATCCACACCCCCACCTCCGAGGAGAAACGGCCGGTCTGTGACAGCTCCAAGAAAGTGCAGCGTCAGGGGATTTTTAAATGAGTGTCCAGGTCAGTGCTGACATGGCCCTGTTGTCAGCATCTATTAAAGAATAGTCACTCCACTCAGCCACCTTCTGCTTCGTGGTTTTGAGTTCTGCCCTGGCTTTAATCTAAGCATGAAATGGAATCCCATGCTGTTGCAAATGGTTAAGACTTCATTCTTCTCATTCCATGGTATATTTGCACCACAGCTTTTTACCACTTGTCTGGTGATGGGCATTTGGATTGCTTCCATATCTTGGCTATTGTAAATCACACTGCAATGGACATACAGAAGACCCCACACAGTCACCACAATCATGATAAAGGAGAACAAAGCTGAAGGCATCCAGCTACCTGATATCAAACTACATTTCAAGGCCAGAGAATTGGCATAAAAGCAGACATAGAAATCAATGAACAGAATAAAGAGCCCAAAAATAAACCCACACCTCTATGGTCAATTAATATTTGATAAAGGAGGCAAGAACAGACAATGGGGTAAAGACAGTCTATTCAATTAATGGTGCTGGGGAAATTGGACAGATGGATACATGCAAAAAAATACAATGAAACTAGACCAACTTATACTATATACAAGAATAAGTTCAAAATGAACAAAAGACTTAAATGTAAGACTCGAAATCATAAAACCCTAGAAGAAAACATAGGCAGTAAAATCTCAGATATTTCTCTTAGCAACATTTTTTTCTGATATATCTCCTCAGTTGAGGGAAACAAAAGGAAAAAATAAATAAATGGGACTTCATCAAACTAAAAAGTTTTTGCACAGCAAAGACAACCATCGGCAATATGAAAAGACAACCTACTGAATGGGAGGAGATATTTGCCAATGGTACATCTGATAAGGGGTTAATATCCAAAATGTATACAAGTTCACTTCTAACTGAGACACAGGAGACCTGGGGGGAGCGGCACTAGAATTCTGAGCATCTGAAGGATTTCCCAGAAGAGGGCGATATTGTACCAAGGGACCTTTTTAACCGTCCAATTACAAAGTTCCAGAATTTGTAAGTACATTTTTTTGTTAACCAAGACTCAGGTCCCTAAATGTCACAGCCCCTGGTCCCTCGTGTGTCCTACAGTGTTTCTAGAATTATCTTGTTTTGATGCCTAGTCAATGCAGGACCACAAGCCCAATACAACCGCTCCAGGAAGCAGGGACTTGCATTCTCAGTGTTACTCTTGTACAGATTTAGGATGGAGGGCTGGGTGAGGCGCTCTGAGCCGTGCTTGTCTAACAGTTTAATTAAATCCATAGCATTTTGTTTTCTTACAAGCTGTTCCTTAGATATATTTTTTTGCCTTTTTTGTCTCCTCTTGTTGTTTCAGCTTCTTCCTAAATGGCATTCCCTATCTATCATTGATCTATCATTGATCTATCATCTATCTATCTACCTATCATCAATCTATCATCTATCATCTACCATCGATCTATCATTTATTTATCTCTCCATCTCCATCTCCATCTCCTTTTCTCTCCAGGCTCCCTCGCCTTCCTCTGGAAGGTCAACAGTCTTCCCGCCCTGTGGTTCTCCTTGTTGGCCACACTGCCTACACTGCCCGGCCCCACTGCCCGCTGCCTCAGCACTTCCCACAACCCCCTTCCCCCGGACCCTGTGGAGGTGAGCGGCCAGCCCCAGACAGCCTGGCACACAGGCCCTTCAGGCCTTCTCTGAGGCAAGCCACGCCTGCCCACGGCGGCTACAATTTCCATCCACAAAAACCCTGGTGTCCGAGGGTTCTGGTGAGAGAGGCTCTGGGTCCAGTTGGAGCCGTGGCCCTGTCTTCGATGGCTCAGAATGTGAGGCTCCAAGCGCCATCAGGAGCCGAGGGCCTGAGAACACCACCTTCTCTCTTGTTAAAAGTATGTTTTTATTGAGTTCAGAGAGGAAGGGAGAGGGATAGGAACATCAGTGAGAGAGAACCATGGATCGGCTGCCTCCTGCACACCCCACACTGGGGATCAAGCCCACAACCCGGGCCTGTGCCCTGACCAGGAATTGAACCATGACCTCCTGGTTCATAGGTCGATGCTCAGCCCCTGAGCCACGCGGGGGGTGAGAACCACGTCCTCCCTGGGAAGTCTGACTCGGCCTTTCACAAACACCTCTTTTCCACAGAGAGGGGGTCCCTGAAGCCTCGGTCGGAGCCACCTGTCCTGGAGGCTGCGGCACCTGGAGCACCGAGATTCCACAGGCATCTTACGGCCACGGAGCACACAGACTCTCCCTCACGTCCATCGAGGATGAGCACTAACCCATGACTTTTCCTCCGTCTCACTCTTTACAAACCACAGAAGCTCTGGTCCAGTCCCCGCCCCTGCCCCTCACACCTGTGCTGAGGTGTGATGACACGGTCCCCCGAGGCTGGAGTGGGCAGAACCCCAGCGAAGGCCCCGCTCAGCTGCCCACAGGGGACCTGCTGGACACTCTGGGGGATCCAAGAGAGGCTCGGATGCCTGGGAGGGGGAGAGACTGGGCCTCGCTCAGGGCCATCTTCACCATCCAGGGAGTTTACATGCGAATCAAGAAACACACATTTAGCCTGGACAGTGTGGCTCAGTGGCTAGAGCACTGGTCTGCCGACTGAAGGGTCCCAGGTTCGATTCCGGTCAAGGGCATGCACCTGGGTTGCAAGCTTGGTTGGGGTGCGTGCTGGAGGCAACCAATTGATGTTTCTCTGTGTCTCTCCCCCCTCTCTTCCATTCTCTCTAAAAAGCAATGGAAAAATATCCTCAGGTGAGGATTAACAAAAATAAAAAAAATAAACACAAATTTATAACACATGAGATTTTTTTAAATTTTAGGATTAAACCCATTTTTGAGTCCTTAGAGAATGCAAGTCTGAAACTGCACAGGCATTTTCAATGGACCTGAATCGGGGAGGAAGTAGGCAGATGTGGGTCTCACACAGCTGTGAGCCATGAGGGTCTGCAGGCTGCTCTGTGAGTGGCAGCACAGGGCCCCCCACGGTTCTGGCGCCCCCTTACCTGAGCAGTGGGGGAAGTCAGGGGCGCCCGAGAGACACCGGTCACAGCGCCGTCCTGCGATCCCCGGGCGGCACGCGCACTGGCCCGTCGCTGGGCTGCAGGGCGTCGGGTAGGAGCCGAGGGCTGAGCACTGGCAGTCTGTGGGAGAGACGCCAGTCAGACCCCGGCAGGGGCAGGACCTGGGTAACCCACGGGGTGGGGCCCGGGAGACCCAGTGCCAGTCCAGCTCCGCCTCCTGTTAGACTGGAACCTGCAATGTGACCAAATGCCCAGAGCCTCCGCTTCCCTTCTGTGCGGGGGCAAGACCAGTGTCCGCGGGACACGACTGTTGCCAGCATGTGATCAGATCACACGTGAAGAGCTGGGGGAGGCCGGTCTGATGTGAGCACTCAGCAAAGCTCCTGGGTTTTGCTTTTGTTGTTAATTTCACATCCGGAAAGATGGGCTGGTCGTGACCAGGGCTTGGGAAATGCAGATTGCCCTCCACTGTGTGGGTGGGCCTCATCCAATCAGGGGAAGGCGTTAGGAGAAAAGATTGAGGTCCCAAAGGAAGAAGGAATTTTTCCTCCAAATCGCCTTGGGACTCAAGTGGCAAAATTACCGCTTTCCTGTCTCACTGGCCGCAGGTCTGCCCTGCGGATTTTGGACTTACCAGCCCCCACGATCATGTGAGCTAATTCCTTAAAATAACTCTCTCTGTATGCACACACACACACACACACTCATACACACATGCACATGCATACACACATATACATACACATACACACACTCACACATACACACATATACACACACACACAAATACTTACACACATATACACTCACACACATACACACACATGCGCACACTCATACACACACACACACATCCTGCTGGTTCTGTTGTTTGGGTTTTTAAAAATATATATTTTTATTGATCTCAGAGAGGAAGGGAGAAGGAGAGAGAGAGAAACATCAATGGGAGAGAATCATGGATCACTGCCTCCTGCATGAGCCCCACACCGGGGATGGAGCCCACAGCCCGGGCCTGTGCCCTGACCGGAATGGAACTGCGACCTCCTGGTTCATAGGTTGAGGCTCAGCCACTGAGCCCTGCTGGCCGGGCTGGTTGTTTTTCTTGAGAAGCTGACGAAGACGGCTCTGTCTGCTGTTTCTGCCCTGAACAGAGCAAGAGGAACCTGGCTCAGGGCAGGCAGCTCTGGCCCGAATACAGGCAACACCCACGCTGGCCCCAGGGCCTCAGGGGCCGGCCAGGGAGCTGGGGAGGTGCAGCTACACTCCAGAGAGGGAAACAAAGACACCGGCTTCCCGCCAGCCAGCCAGCCGCAGCTTAAACTGTGAGCTGCTCAACCTGGCACCTCCCCATCGTCTCAATCCAGTGGCCACTGAAGACCGCCAAGCCCCCGCCACCCAGCGCGGGCCGCCCTGTTCTCACTCCTGGAAGCACCATGAGGCTGCACAGCTAGTTAATGCGCTTTGTTCCGGTCCAGGTCCTGGATGCGTCTGCAGTGTTTTACTTCTCATCTGCTCACTGTCTCTGCTTTAGGGCATGTTTACTCCCAAAGAGGATTTAAAACGATCAAACGTCTAAGGTGACAGCTTGTCTGCTGGCCCCAGTGTCTCCCAGCACCAGGCAGGGCCTGGACCCAGGACAGGCCAAGGGGAACCTTGTAAACCTTGCATTTAACCACGACGTCCTCCCACCACCAGCCGATGACCTTCTCTTGCTGACCTGCCGCGCTGCAGAGCCAGGGTGCTGTGACACCACCCCCTCTCCCTCTGAGAGGAAGCACGTGACCAGGTGAACATCCTGGCTGTCCCAGGGATGCCCTATGGCCTGGTTCTGGGGTGTGTCTTTCTGTTGGAAAAGCAGGGGGCGCCTCCCTCAGCAAAGCCACAGTCCATCCATGATACTCGCCCACCCACCTCTTGGGCTCCGGGTGGATTCAATCTACAGAGAACCCCGAGAGGCTCCTTCAACCCACCTCAGGCCCCCCCAGCAGAGCTGCCTTACAAAGGGGCCAGTTCATGGCGTCACTGCACAGATTTGGCTCAGACTCCCCCCTACCCCTGCCCAGGCCTCGGGGTCCTGTTCACCCCCCAGGGGTCCCAGCCAGACCCTTCCCTCCGCCCCATCGCCATCGGCTGAAGCATCTGGCCTCTTCTCTACGCGAGTGCGCCCGACTTGTGGAACTGTGGTGACAGCACCAGGCATAGGCCTGGACCCAGGACAGGCCGAGGGGAACCTTGTAAACCTTGCATTTAACGACAACGTCCTCTCACCACCAGCCAATGCGCCTTCTCTTGCTGCAAAGTATTTATAGGAGTTTTCTGAGAAAAGACCTGTCCCCACACCCAAAGGCCACAGCCACCTCCAAGGGGTCCGTTCTGGGCCCAGGGTCAGGTCGACGTGGCTGAGGTTTGGGGGCAGCTGCACTTGGCCCACAATTCCACCCTCCGAGCCTCTGTTCTAGCGAATTGTACCAGCAATAGGATGAGGAGGACGAGAAAAACAAAGAAAAAGGATGCCCGGCTGGCGTGGCTCAGTGGGTGAGCATCAACCTATGAACCAAGAGGTCCTGGGTTCGATTCCCAGTCAGGGCACATGCCCAGGTTGTGGGCTCGATCCCCAGTGTAGGGTGTGCAGGAGGCAGCTGACCCATGATTCTCTCTCATCACTGATGTTTCTGTCTCTTTCTACTTCTTCCTTTTTCTCTGAAATCAATTTAAATATATATATATATATACACATATATATATATATACGTATTTTTTAAGGAGAGGAAGGCAGGATGAGGAGTGGGAAGGAGGTAAAGATGGGGGGACATGGGAGGAGGAAAAGGCAGCGTCACCCCCGAATGACCAGTTAGCCAAGAAAGCCCGGTTGTGTTCTGTGCTGGCCGATAAGGAGCTGGACCAGACAGCCACGCAATTACGATTATGAACACACACAGACAGCCTCCAACACGGCCTCAGGCTAACTCACACCTATAAGCAAGTGGGGAGTCGCGAGGGAGTGGAAATTAAAGTGAGAAAGATACGCATTGCACTACGCGAAGTCTGGAATAAATTACATTAGAACAAACCACGAGTGCAGGACTGCAGTTGGCAGAACAACTTAGGGTTTCAACTCCTTTCCTGGAAGGACTCTACCATCTTAAAGCAGCAGAGAGCAACGCCCTGGGCACACGTCCCGGCTGGAGCACACTGAACCACCCGATGTGGTGTTTCGGGGTCCCGTGGGTTTGGTTGTGAAATTCAATAGACCCAGCAGGCGACTCCACCTCAGAAAGACAATAAATTGGAAGATGGGTCGGACCTTGACGCTCGGCCCGTTCAGTTCTCAGTGCGTCTGAGCTCCAGCCACTGGCTTCAGAGCCGCCCTCCTGAGAGGAAACTGTGAAAGGTCACAAAGCCCCCATGGGGGTGGCTCCGTGGCTGGAGCTCCGGCCTCAGCACCAAAGGGTCTCGGGTTCGATTCCCGTCAGGGCACCTACCTAAGTTGCGGGTTTGATTCCCTGTCGGGTGCGAATGGGAAACGGCCAATTGATGTTTCTCTCTCACGTCATGCTTCTCTCTCCCTCCCCCTTCCTCTCCCAGGTTAGGTTCTGGACACACACTGTGGGCGGGAGGAGGTGGTGGGTGGTGGATGCTGCCCACTTTCCAGGACGCCCTGTCTCCTCCCTCCACCTGGCAGCTCCTCAACTCCGCTCAGAGGCCACCTTCTTGGCAGCTGCCCGCACGCAGGCGGCGCCTCCAGGCGCGGAGGAGGAGGGAGGGCGGCACAGAGAGCAGCGGCATGGCCAGGGCGAGGGCAGCCCTCACATGATGTCTGGAAGTCAGGAATGTACTGATGCAGAGATCATACTGTGATTTCATTAAAGATCTGCTCTTAGCCCTGACCAGTTTGGCTCAGTGGATAGAGCGTCGGCCTGTGGACTGAAGGGTCCCAGGTTTGATTCTGGTCAAGGGCGTGTACCTTGGTTGCAGGTGCATCCCCAGCAGGAGGTGAGCAGGAGGCAGCTGATCGATGCTTCTCTCTCATCGATGTTTCTAACTCTCTATCCCTCTCCCTTCCTCTCTGTAAAAAATCAATAAAATGTATATTTTTAAAAAATCTGCTCTTGGAAAATACAGATAAACTCAATATTTTTAAAAGCCACAGTCATTTTCATTGGTCATTTGTTCATGTAAATATCATTATAAATTCATAGTCATGAGTTATTATTCCAAGAACAATGATCACATCTATTTTTAAATTATTTTTTAAATATTTTTTAATGGATTTCAGAGAGAAAGGGAGAGAGAGAAACATCAATGATGAGAGAGAATCACTGATTGGCTGCCTCTTGCACACCCCACACTGGGGATCGAGCCTATAACCCGGGCATGTGCCCTGACAGGGAATGGAACCCTGACCTCCTGGTTCATAGGTCAACACTCACCACTGAGCCACACCAGTCTGGCAAATTACTTACTTTAATCTCAAAAGGCTGCCACTGACTTTTCCCTTTTCTCACTGTGCTTCTGGGCAACAGTCTCTCCCTTTCACATGAGGACGATGCTGACACGGCTGACGTGTGAGTATGAAGTTCTTGTGTAATAAACGCAGGCCACACGGCTCTGCCAAACAGCCTCTGCCTTCCCTTCGAGGAGATGAATTATGGGGGACTGACACTCCTGGGCCGTGGCCACTCACCTTGGCAGATGGGGAACGAGTAGAAACCCTGGCGGCAGGCAGCACATCGGGGGCCCTCGACCCCTGGGCGGCACAGGCACCTCCCGTGGGCATCACAGATTTCGGGGAGCACTCCTTCGAAGTCACAGTCACAGCCTGGGGAGGAGAAGAGGCTTTGGGGGTCTCCTTCCTCCTTCCCTCTGCCAGTCCCTCCCTCCCTCAGGTTTCTGTCGGGAAAACAGATGATGAGTTATCCACGGCTAACCGACATCCTTAACCCCAGAGAACACATCTTCAAGGTAAAGAAAATAAATATTCAGGCAAACTCAGAGGTGCACTAAGAAGCATCCAGGGGTGGGGGGGAGCATCCGTTTGCAAAACACCTTTTAGACTCTTGTCATGTCTAATCCTGTGAGGACACTCCTCCCCTCCCCCCACCCCAAATCTGAGCTTTACACAGCAAAACTTCAATCTAATAGGTTCCCATCAGATAAGAACCTTGAGGGGGCTGCGCACGGGCCTTGTCCATGCCTGGTACACAGTAGGCGCCAGTCAGAGTGCGATGAATGGAGAACACGCTAAGTATATA